GATCTTTGGTGTCTTTGGTCAGATTTATTCCAAGATATTTTATTTTTTGAGCAGGGTCTATGTAGACTTCTGTCTCCCAAATGCTGGGAGCAAAGGCATGTGCCACCATGACCATCTCCATTACTTTCTTATTCTATGTACAAGCCAACCTCTTTTAAAATTTACCCTGATTTTATGCTCAATGTTTCAATGCAATAAATTGTATACAGACAGGCTTGTAGCAGTGTTTATTTGTAATAGGCCACCAAATATGAAATGTCCTTTGTGCTTTCTGTTTCTTAGAAATAAAAATGAATATAAAACTGATTGTTTAAATAAAATGGTAGTTTTTCTGTTTCATCAAAGTAGAAACAAAAAGTTCCTTAACTTAAAATATTTTGTTTGAGAGGAAATTATCTAACAATGAAAAGGCTACTTTAAACACTATTTTGTCTCCAGGAATGTCTTAATTCTGTCAAATTTGCCTTGCCAAAATAAAAATACAGTTGTCTACTGGATTCTGATTGTAGCTAAAAAGTGACAATAAATATTTTTAATGATGAGGGTAAGAGATCTCAAGGCTTTTGTTTCACAGGAAGGAAGTACTCTATTACATGGATCTATAAAATGATCCAAACTTCAGAGACAGGAAGTTGATAATTTGATTTATCTTAATGGCTTTAGTTCATGAATAAATGATAAAGGTTTATGTGTTTTTCTTATAAAAAGATGATGAGTAGTATTTGCCACATTTGTTCTACTTTTTAAAGGATTTCTAATTACTAAAACACTTTATATTATTTATAATAAGTCAAAACTTTAACTGAAAGCCATTCTTTGACCACATTTAGCCATTAGCTGAAATTCAGGAAAGAAAACAGGTTTGATCACCAAATCAATAAATCTAGCCACAGGCCGACTAAAAGCTTCCTTTAATCTATTAGGTCTCCCCTTAAATTAACAGTCTCTTTATGAATTATTTATGGTGGCATGGTCATATAAAAGAAAGTTCACAGTTCTTCACAAAAAATGCTCAACTGAAAAAAAAAATCCATTCAGTATATTTCAGGAATTATAGCATGACTCAAGATATTATAAGTTTAAGAAAGAGCATAGGGGAGTATGTCTTGAAAAGCTTCAGAGAAAAATACAAAAGTCAAGTTAATTTCCTGATTAGTGTAGAATGAGTCCCAAAGCAGTTAGTGTCTGGTCCAGACTATCTATTATTGATTGCAGTTTCCTTTCACCATCAAAGCTTTTCCCAAAGGCAATGCCTACATTCTTAATTTTAATATTTTATCTTGTTTCTTTTAGCTCCATCCTCTCTTATCAATAAACTCTACACAATTCCTCCATATTGAATGCTCTTTTCAACTGGAATTGATACTTTCAAATGTTCCTGACATTCAACTTAGAGCTACAAAATTTTCTATTTATATTTCCTTAAATTCTTAAAATTTATTAATTTTAACTATTTAATCCAATAAATATATTTTAAACATTTTTAGGAGTTTCCAAATACTGATGTTCTTCACAAAAACACAGGCAAGGAGTAATCCCTTAATGTTTTAAAGGAACTATTACTCCTTTCTTTGTCCTTCACAGTAAATCACTTCCTTCCCAAGTCTTCCAAATTTCTTTTCATTGTATCAGGTACCAAAGGAAAGACACAAGCCATTTCAGAGTCCTGAAAGATACAAACTATTTCTTCCCTGTCCTCTTTAATATACACTTCAAAGCTACACATATGGCAGTACTTTGAAAATATTAAATTGTTAATACCTTGAAAATTGAAAAAAATAAAAGCCAGAGAAAATACATCATAAGCAATCAGTTTAATTATATGAAATCTACTTAGATCCCGACTTTCATGTAAACACTAATTTTTGCCACTATAAAAGACATTATATTTCACTTTTCTGTATAAAACTACCTTTAACAGAATATTCATAAGCTAATTATCCCTTAGATATTTCTATACTGATAAAAAGTTACTTTTAAAAGAAAAATATTTAAAATAATTGTTTCACAGAAACAGAAAGTCTTATCAAATTCTGATAAAAAGCTATGGTTATGAGTAGAGTCTTACCAACACTGTAAATTTTCTTTCACCAAAGATGGTTATGAATGACGTTTTATGGTTAGGAAGACGGGCATCAGTGATCTACAACAGTGCCACAGTAAAGATGAGGTAGTAGGAGATACTTCTACTTTGGGAAAAGGTCACTATCATCTTTAGAAGGGATATTTATCCTGACAGTGAAGTTGATGTTCTGAGCCTCATCACAGCTACAAGAGGTCTGCCCTTAGTGGCTACCTCTTGCAGAGACCAAGACAATCTTTAGACCACCGAGAAAAAAATAGAGAATGGTAACAGCTTTTTCCCATTTTATTTTTAACTGCTGAACAATTTAAAGCTTTAAAAGTTCAAATTTAAAGTTTCTTCTTTTTTATGTTTTTTGTGGGGGGCACTGAGACGGTCTTATTTTGTAGCACAGACTGTCCCAGAACTCACGGCAATCCTCCTGCCTTAGCCTACCAAATTCTGGGATTAAAGGCATGAAGTACCATGCCCAGCTAAAGCTATGATTGGAGAATGCCATTTTTACATTAACAGCACTTCAAATGGAGAAGGGCTAACTCAACATAAATGCAAAAGGAACTAAGAAACAACTGGATTTTTGTTTGAGACAAGGTGTCACTATATATATCTAGCTGGACTTGAACTTGCAGCAATCCTCCTACCTCTGCTTCCCAAGAGCTGGGATTACAGACATGCACCACCTGGCAAGGAACAGGTTTTAACTTGGAAATTGAGCCAAAGTTCTTTCAACCCAGGTAGAAGCAAGTATTCTAATATAGCTGAACTAACATCAGGAAATCTGTAATCCCAGAACTCGAGAGGGTAAGGCTGAGGCCAGAGGATCTCAAGTTAGAGGCCAGCCTAGGCTACAAAGTGATACACTGTCTAAAACAAAAAGCAACAACAGAAAACAATATTTAAATATGGGGTTAGACAGCTCACCAGGAAAAAACTGGGCAATTTGTCTAGTCATTGAGGGAAGAAATTATGTATCACTCCATTGGTCTTATTAGTTACACTAGGCAATGATGTTTCTAAAAATACTGAGTGACCTATCCTTGAGATAGTAACATGATTTTTGTACTATTGTCTAGCATGTTATATCATGTAACTATTAAAATGTCTTCTCTTTTTCTGACTTATTTTTAAAATTTTATGTGTATGAGTGTCTTGCATGCATGTATGCAAGTGCATCTGTGTCATGCAAAATCTGCAGAGGCCAGAAGAGGGTGCTGGATCCCCCTGGAACTGGAGTTATGAATGGTTGTTAGCCGCCATGTAGGTGCTGGGAATCGAACCTGGGTCCTTTGGAAGAGCAGACAGTGCTTTTGACTGCTGAGCCATTTCTCCAGCCCTGCCTTCTCTTTTTTGAAGCCACATTAAAGACATGTTAATTCTGAAGACAGGGATAATTATTTGGCATGTGAAGATCAAAGGCAATATTAAGCTTCCTAAATGTTGAGCTCCATGTTTGCTTTTAATTTTTATTTAAGTTCAGTTCAAAATAATGAAAACTACTTAGGGACTCTGGTTATCAATGGAAATTTGGAGTTTAGAAACCGTATAGTTCTGCCAAAGTAACAGTATAAAAGAACTAAGTGGATGCATCAGCTCATAAATACAGAAAAATTCTAGCTGCTTTAGCAACTACAAACTTCTAACACTGGTATTTTGTTTTGTTTTATACAGCTTCCAGGAAGAAAGGAACAAAACTTATATTATGAATATGATTTAGCGCTTCCAGATTGAGAAGATCTATTTGGAAGTAACAAATGATTCTGCCACCTTATAGAACAAATGTACCCCTCCAGAACATCAAAGTTCATTTCTCATTGACTAGATTAATAAAAAAACTTAACCCAATGAAAACATGAATTTTCACTTAAAGTGTTGTGTTACCTAATATTCTTGTTAGCAAATTACAAAAGTCAGTTACATTATAATGGATGAATAACAGCACTAATATTTACTGATGAACTCTAAAATGAAAAGGTGACAAAGAAACTTTTAAAGGTGACAGGAATACTCAGTGTAGATTAGCAAAATATTTTACATGTAGAAAAGAACAGAAGATTATTTTTAAAGAAAAATACAGAATATTCAAATGTATTTGCAATGCCTTCAAATTTCAAATATTCCTGGACCATATATAAATTAAGGAAAATATACAATTTGCATGATAAAAACAAAACCAAACACTTGCTTAAAAATATCTATTATAACAATTAGTGTATCATAAAAAAAATAAACTGATCTGGAAGTAAAATTTAAAGTTTTATTTTGGACTCTTAACTGCCTTTGTAGAAAATTTAATGAGGCATAAGAAAAATAAAAGATTAAATGAAAATATGTATGTAACTGCCATGTTCCTAACCTTCTCCTAGCACTGTTGTTCTGGTGCATCAATCCTGAGTACTCTAACTTTTGATTTATAATGGTATTCCTTCAGATATAGTTTCATTGACGCAGGAATTGGAAGGGCATCAATGCCATCGTAAGTTGTACAATTACAAATAACTGTTCTGCAAATATGCTGCAGGGAAAAGGGGAAAGTCCGAATTAAAGGAGTGGATAAAAGTGGTTCAAAGAACATACAGGCACTTGGGTCCTTATAATGTTCTAGGAGCCCAGTAATGTCAGGAGAATGGAAGACACAAGGATCATGTGCATCAAAACTGAAGTTGTGGTTCCACTGTTCAATTCTAGCATGAAGAGAACGACTATAGCGTCTAAAACTAACGGAGAATAAATAATCTTCCTGTGCTGAGTCTCGAAGTAAAAAGGTACCCTCTGGTTTTCCTTCTAGTAGAGCTTCAGCTGCATATTTATCCATAACTCCCCAATAACACGGATTGTTATTGATTTGAAGAAGGTCTGGTACAAGACAGTGGACATAATCAATCTGGGTGTGGTACTTTGGAGGTGTTTCCAACTGCAGGATTTCATCATCCATATCCCATTTGGGTTTGTTTCTTTTTCTGGAACTTGTGCAAAGTGTTATAATTTCATCATCGGAATCCATATCACTATCTTCTATACTGTTATTTGTAACCAGGTTCATCATAGAGCCAGTCATGTGACCACCTCTACATGAAACATCGTTGGTAGTTATGACACAAGGCTGAATATTAGTATGTGAGAAACTGTTTATATCTTCTTCCATGTTTCTTCGTTTTAGCTGAGCATCCCTTGATTCACTCTGAGGTAAGTCTGTGCTTACCCACTCATCTGATTTGGGACTTATAGGAGCAGTGTGTCGTTTAATAAAATGCCATCTAAAGGCTAAATCTGATCGAGGTGGGAAAGGACACTTATCTAACATGAGTTCACTGATATGAATTTTTCTTTTAGATGGAAGCCCTGGAGAATGCCGACTGCTACAATTCTTTATTGGAAAACATTGCCCCACAGCATCTTGCAGTTTCTGTTTAAGAGATCGTCCTAAAAATCTATGCCCACAGGAATGATCTAAATCCAACTCAATAGATGCACAGCTGTGCTTCCTCTCTTGGCTCCTTAAAGGAACTTCAGTTTTCTCTACAGCACCCACTGTTTCAGCATCTGAACAACTCTCACTCTTTTTTGACCAAGATAACTTCTTTCCACTCCACACATAACCGTCTTTTCTGTCAGCACTTCTACTTCGACTTGTTTTAGGCCTTACATCTACATTTTTACTATTATTTTCATTATTTTCTGCCATTTTAAACAAATTATCCACAAATTCCAGTGTTACAAATACTGCTTTTTCAGTTTTTCTGACAGGAAGTTTCTTCTGGGTACTTTCTGGATGAATCTACGAAAAAGCAGAAGAAAAAAGAAAGTCATTAACCACTTGTTCACCTTCTAGTGTTATATATAGATTAAGGCCCAAGTAGACACAAGATGAGAAAGTACAGTTGGTGTCGGAAAAAGATAAAGTACTGGCCATGTTGCAGGGCAGTCCCAGGTGTCTTGTTCCCACTTGAATGCACTGCTCTACCATACTAGGATAGTATTTCCTATGGAGGCAAGAGCATGCATTCCTTTCTCACAGCTAATTTTCAGTATGGGTCAGAAAAGTACAGTCTTCCTCTCAGCCCTAATGTATGTATAAATGTGAATAATTCGTTTTCCCCTATGCCTATTTCTCCTCATCTTCATTTTCTTTTATTGGTTTTCTGAGATGGGTCTTGCTATGTAGCCTTGGCTGGTCTGGAAATCTATGTGGACCAGACTGGCCCTGAACTTCCAACAATCCTCCTATCCCCACTCTGTGCTATAATCACAGGCCAGTGAATTCTTTGTAAGAAGAAACAGTTACAAATCTATGCACTGGCACTAGGGCCCTATACTGCTTCTTCTCTTCCTTTGTTTCTGTTTCTACTTTACATATTTATTAAATAAATGATTATCACTAAACAAGAGGAATCCAAGCAAGGATTCCCAAAGCAGTTTTGCCCACTCATTTCAGTAACTGGTTACATCAGTAGCAGATAGTCTAAGCAGTTTTTACACTTTTGTATTTAACTCACATACTCTTTAACATTTAAAAAAAAAAACCTTTATTTATTCTTTCTTTTGGCCTTTTTGAGACAGGGTCTCCCTGTGGCCCCAGCTGGCAAGGAACGCACTAAGTACACCAAGTTGACCTTGAATTCATAGAGATCTGCTGTCTGCCTCTGCCTCTAGAGTGCTGGGATTAAAGAAATTTAGTAATGGAAAGAAATAGTCATAACCGAAGAAGTACCACCACACCCAGCCTTAGGTATTTTTAAGTGAAGCAAGAGTCAAGCCAGGAATTCAGTGACAGGATTCTATAATTCCAAATATTCTGCAAATGAGAGCTGAATTTATATCTAAGAATTAGTCATACAACATGTTAATTATGATTGTTTCTTAATCTCAGAACATTAAAATCTCAACAGCTAATGTGTTGAGACATGAATCAATTTTCAAAGTAGTACATTTTGAAATGAGCATTTATATTGGCAAATATGATTGGCAACTGCTTAAAAGTGCAGATTAATGATAGACTTCCTACGTAGGGTGTTCTTTTCTAAAAATCAAATAGCATCTGGTGATTATGTTTATTATTTTTATTTAGTAGCTCACTGGTATGCAGCCATTTAAAACTAATTTTACCCAATTTTGCAAGCAATATCATTACTTAGTACTGCCATTATATTCAACAGTATTCTTTGGCTGTTTGTTGACTGAATGCTATCAAACAAAAAATAAACACTCAGAAGCAATAAAGTATGCTGAAGACGATGAAGAGTTTTTATTGAAGTTTGATGCCTGGTGATTTTATTTATTACATAAGTATCAAAATAGCAGATTACTAGTTGAATGACCAACTTTATTCCACTGGGTATGAACATCCTAAAGCTTGCTTTCTTGCCAACTTTAAAGATTTTAGTAATGTGTATGCATGTATGCCTGAGTGTGGGTTTGTGCATGTCAGTGCAGGGCCCAAGAAGGCCAGAAGTATACTGGAGTTACAGCAGTTACAAGCTGCCCAATGTAGCCAGGTGTGGTGGCACATGCCTTTAATACCAGCACTCGGGAGGCAGAGGCAGGTGGATCTTTGTGAGTTCAAGGCCAGACTGGTCTACATAGTGAGTTCTAGGCCAGCTGGGGCTACAGGGAGACCCTGTCTCAAAAAGACGCCCCCCCCAATGCTGCCCAATGTGAGTGCTGAGCCATCTCCAGGCCCTACTCAGTACCTTTACATTGTGGAATTTTCTTTTTTTAAAATTTTTGTTTTTGAGACAGGGTCTCACTATATAGCCCTTGCTGGAATGAACTCACATGTAGCTCAGGCTGGCCTCCAATTCTGGTGACCCTATTTTCTCTGTTTTTGATGATATTCATAGTCCTTTACCATGGGTTATACTTTACTCTCCCTTAACTTCTCTTCGAAAACATGCAAGTCTATAAAATCTTTCAGTGATCCTAGTGCTTTAGTTATGACTATTTCCATTATTAAATTTCTTTATGATTAATACAAATTTATTTCCCTCCTCAAAATGTAAATAGCTATGAGGACAGAAAATAGAGTGGCAGTAACTGACTCAATGGTAGAGAGCTGGGTGACACCAGACACAGAGCTGGTACAGGTAAGTAAGCTGACAGGGCAGGCAAAATTCAGGGGCCACTGGTTCATGTGATACAGAAGGTATAGGTGAACAAGGAGCAAAACAGAACAGGGAAGGAATGAGGAGCTAGCTTGAAAGATTCCTCAGTTTCATACTCAAGCTACAATTACAGCAGATGAGGCATTTGTTATTTGGAGAAACTGAGCCATAGAGGGAGTGGAAGGGAGGCTGGGGGCTAAACGTCAAATCACTAAATGTAAGTTCCTTCTTCTACCCAGCAGTCAGACTTACACCACCCTAATAGGACAGTAGAACATAATTTTGCTGGAGAAATAGAATGACCAAAAAGAAAAGATCCATGTCAGGCTGGAGAGATGGCCCAGTGGTTAAGAGGACTGACTGCTCTTGCAGAGGAGCCAGGTTTGGTTCCCAGCACCTACATGACAGCTAATGACCATCCATAACTCCAGTTCCAGCGGATCCTACACCTTCTGACCACAGGCATTGCACAATACGGGTATACTTACACACATGCAGGCAATAATACACTCATACACATAAAACAAAAACATCAAAAAATAATAAATAATTATTAGGCACAGAAAAGGACTTTATAATTGAACACCAGCTGCTCAGGCATTAAGGTAAAAAAATCAGTGTGACCTCATGCTAGTGGGAATGCAAACTTGTGCAACCACTATGGAAAGCAGTGTGGGGAACTCTCAAAAAACTAAAAATGAACCTACCATATGATCCAGTTATACCACTCCTTAGCATATACCCAAAGGACTCATCATACTGTACATCCATATTTGTTGCTGCTCTCTTCACAATAGCTAAGAAATGGAAACAACCTAAATGTCCCTCAACTGACAAATGGATGATGAAAGTGTGGTATTTACACAATGGAGTTCCACTCAGCAGTAAGAAAAGATGAAATGTGCAGGTAAATGGATGGAATTAGAGAGTGTTCTATTAAGTAACACAAATGCACAAAAGCAACCAATGTATGTGTTCCCTCATTTGCAGATTGTAGCACCAATCTCTTATATGTGAATATATATATTCTGATGTAACATCAGGATTCAGGAATATGGAAAGGATACATGGAGGTAAAGGAAAAGAAAGAACCCAAAAGGATACATGGAGGTAAAGGAAATGAAAGAACCCGAAAGAGGAGGATAGGAGGGAGCAGATGTTACTGGGGGGAGGTAGGGAAAGTAGGATTGTTTGGCAGAGAGGAGAGGAGGGAGGGACATGCAAAGGGCCATGGTATGTGTGTGGGGGAGGGAACTCAGGAGAGGGAGATGGTATGAGGTGGGTGTTATTGGGAACAGGGTGGAGACAACGGGGGCGCTGGAACTGGGGAGGGAAGATGGAAGCTGTCTGGGAGGATAAAGAGTAGAGATAAATGAATCTTGGGGGTTAGGAAACCCAGATGGAAATGTGATGCCCCCGAAACCCCCTTGAGAAATGCACATACAGTGTGTAAATATTAGTGCATATGTATACCTGAGAACTGCTTGGCACAGAACACAGTGCCAGATAGAAGAGATCTCGCTTTGAGTGGTTGGTGACAGGAGACTCCAAAAATAACACAGGCTACTGCCAAACCTCTTGGTTATCTCCCAGAACTAGTACATAAGACCCTACTGCTGAAGACAGGACATACATCGGATACAGGACTTGAAGCAATGGACTAGGAATGACCTGGAGGCCTTCTACCCGAAGTTTAGCGATCATAATGCTGGATGATGGGATGCAAACTGCCAAGGGAGAAAAACAATCAATGGTCCAACCCAACCCTAAAGCCTAATAACCATAATGACCCACGTGCCAAACTACCTCTATTGGTGCAGTAGTGGCACTGTTATCTGGGGGCCAATCAACAGCTATATAATGGGACTTAAAGTCCTTTCAATGGGAGTGAACTCATGGGTGGCACTGTAAACACATGACAGGGGAGGACACAGATCCTAGAGAAAACCTTATTTCATATCTGTAGACAAATAAAATTTCTTACCATATGCTAAATATGGATCCTTATGTTTATGGAGAAGCATACTGTACACCACTCATCAAAGAAGCTTCTTTTTGCAACAGATGGAGGCTACTGCAGAATTCCACAAATGGCCAGACACAGAGAATATACATCTGAGAGATGCCCAGTACTAGGTGACACATCTACAGTTAAACCTCTATACCTAAGGCTCATGGAACATATCTGAAGAAGAGGTAGAGAGAAAACTAATGCATCCTTCGAGTCTCACCAGTAAAGCTTCCTTACACAACAGAAGGCCACAACTAGCCAAGTTCTAAAGAATAAGAGACTGTGGGGTATGTATCCTTGGATAGGACTCCTATATTGAACCTCACCCACTCATGGCTCAGGGACCACTGCAGAAGAGGGGCAGAAAGATTGTAAGAGCCAAGGCTGGTTCATGAACACAGGAAAGCAGAGGCTGTTTGGCCCCTGGAAGTTTACACATGTGAACTTGTGGCAATGATGGCTATGAGCACAGGACCCATGCCAACTCAATTAAACAAGGGCCCAGAAGGTGAGGAGAGAAATGGGAGACTGAGAACATTGGAGACTGAGTGTTACTGGGTGAGGGAGAGTATGCCTTACATATGATCTCTAGTCGGGCTGACTAGACTCCAGTGGACGAATTTACACTGAAGGACATCTGGGTACAAATGCTTGAGTAGACAGGAC